TGTGTGTGAGAGAGAGGGAGGGGGGGGGGGGCATCTGCAGACACCCCCCTTCAAATAATCCTGGATCCGCCCCTGCTGATAAGTTAAGTTTCTGTGACCCGATACATTGATCACATGGTGGACATATATATAACTGTCCAATGGCACAATGGAATACAAGCCTGGTTAATACGCCCCCAAAACTGGGCAGATAAACTCTATCCTACATTACATTAAAGAGCTGCTTACACATCTGTACTCTGGCAATGAAGTTGTTTGAGAAATAAACTGAAGCACTTCAGAAAAATTATAGTTGTTAACTGCAATTTTGTTCACATTATTTCAATAACAGAAAATGATAAATATTCCATTTCATTTTTCTTTCCATGAACAAGAAAGACGAAATGATATATCTTTAGAACCATTCCCAGACCCTATGGTACTAACTTTGGATCGATCTATCTCCAAGGGGATTCTCGCCAAATTGCAATCAACTTAAGCAGCTTAGATGTCTGTCACACCTAATGAGGCTTCCAGGGGATAATTAATTATTGTTAAGCAGCTTCAGTAGGTGTGCCAGACATTTAAGGCGCTTAAGCTGAATGCAATTTAGTAAGAAACCCCTTGGAGATGGATTGATCCTATTAGATCAATGTAGGCATGGGAACCCAGTCTTTAACACTATACAACAGCCAAATGGTCCATCCAGCCTAACAGTATAGTCCTAGTATTTCTCCACAGGCACAGGCAAAATAATTCAAAGAAGCCTAAGTCCAGTTTACTGTAACCACTTTGTGGCTCAATCCGTAGACTGAGGTGACGTAGGGGTGGAGGGTGGGTCCATAGTGGCCAGAATACGCCCCACTTCCTTCCTCTGTCCTGAAGTCATATGTTGTGTGATGTGGACCAGGGAGTCCATGGCTACATCTGGGTTATCTTCCAGGAGGCTGGAATGACAGGTTGAAAATGAAATAACTGATCACCGACAGAGGGAATGAAAGTTCTGATACATACATTGGTGTACGAGATTTCACTGTGAAAATGTGTCTCATTAACTGTTCACGTGTGGGGTCTCAAGCTAATCAAAAACATTTGGTGTGTTTTTTTTAGAAGTTGAATGTTGTTCTGTAATAAATGTAACGGTCTGAGAACTGTTTTTGGAAGTCCTTCAGAATGTCCTAGAACAGATTAAGAACATTTTTCATTAAAAGAGAAAAACGTTATGTTCCAGGGCAGATTGAGAACCATAAGTGAGCGTTAAATGAGACAAATTTTCGTTTGGGAAATTATCACTAGACTGTGTAGTATCAATCACAATGTTGTTTCCTTGCTGTATAACTTTGTAAGTCTTGTATCAGATTTATTTTTACTTCCATGTGAACTGAAAGAGTCTGGCTACATCGTATCTCAAATAAAGGGGACCTTTTTACAACTGTCTCAAAAGATTCAGAAATAACTGATGGAAGAATTTGAGTGTGTGTGTGCTTGAGATCTCAGCATACACTATAAAATGTGTCAGCGTGATTGCAAAATATGATGTTTTTTAAAACTCACTTTTTCAGCTTCTCAATCACGCAGTCCCTCTTCAAACATTTGAGGTTATCATTAAACACAGAGTTTTCTTCCTCTAGAGCCTTTTCTAGCCACTCCACCACGGCAGGATTGTCTTCCCACAAATATGTCTGAAATAAAAGAACATTCAAAGCTCTTTGTACCAGTATCCTGCAATATTCATATTTATAGTGTAGGGTTTCTTCCCACAGATATGTCTAAAGTGAAAGAACATCCAGAGCTCTTTCAGATATGTCTAAAATAAGAGATCATTCAAAGCTCTTTATATCTGCAATATCCACATTAACATTGTAGGGTTTTCTTCCCACAAACATGTCTGAAATAAAAGAACATTCACAGCTCTTTATACCTGAAATATTCACATTTGTATTGTAGAATTGTCTTCCCACACATGTCTGAAATAAGAGAATATTCAGAGCTTCTTTTAGCTGAGTAAAATAATTAAAACACAGATGCCAGAGACAAAATGTCATAGAAAATAAAATGCCAAACAATTTGTACAATGTATTAAAAATGTCTCTGCTATCTTTACCTTTACTGTGCCCTCGGATTCCACAAACCATCTCTTAAGCATGTTCTTCATCTGGCCGTCTGTCATCTCTTTGTTTATTTTGTAAATGAGTTTCTTGGCTTTTTCTTCTAGCAGCAGACGACGCATGCGCCAGTAGAAAAACTTCCTGCTTGTTGGCCAATCCAGGGTGTCCTAGGATAAAAATATTATACTGAGTGTCTTAATCTATTTTTTTTTTGTTTATTTAAGCATTTTATAAAACAATCATCATCAGATGAATAAGAATCATACACCATGAAGTAAATTATCATGTTCTGAATTCAATATAATATTCAGGTAATGATTTAAGCAATAAGTTGGTATTTCCAATTAATAAAGAGCAGTATTTATTAAGATCTTTCATTCAAAGTTTCTAGCAATTGTCAAACTAATTCTAAAATACATATCTAAATGCTTCAATTTGACCTCAATCTGTTTGTTGATCTTCTTACCGTGATGACCCCTTTCTCCTGCATACGCCCAGCCGTATCATGGAGGTCAGCAAACATCACTGCCACCTGGTGGTAGATTGGTGCCAGTTGTTCCTCTCTCTGCTTCAGTTGTTTCTCCAGCACCAGCTTATCTTCTTTGGACAGAGCAGGACTGGAGATCTTCTCAGAAAGCTGGATATAGCTCGGATCCAGTCTTCGCATAGTTTTGACCAGGTCCTTGTGACGGTATTTGATCTCCACTGTACCTGCTGGTTCTAAAACACCGCCCCTGAAATATGGAGAGTGGGAGTAAACCTATGGGAGCACGAGTCAAATGTTCTTTTTGGCAATCTTTCTAAAAATGTTCAAACCTGATTTCTTTAAACCAGCAGTATGGCCAATAAGGATTATTAAGAAATCAAAAAATACAGTAAATAAGCATTATCCTCACCAGTTGTCACTGAACCCACCTGCTCTCCCTGTCGGCATACATTTCCATGTATCTTGGGTTGATTGACGGGTCAACGACCACCCAGGCCCCGCCCCTCAGCTCTCCATTGGGCGGAATATAGATCAGGATAGGCTGACGGTACTCACGTAGACCATCCACAATGTAGGAACCAAACTTCAACACTTGGTCATACATGTCTGAAAATGTTATCAAAGAACCTTAACCATGTAATAAACTAGAATTTATAATTATATGGAAACACAGACGGCTCATTAAGAATCAGTTTGACAATTATCAAACTCCAAATAAGCATAGCAACTCCACCCAAAAAGGATTTTGGAATATTCTCTTTTCACTTGACAATCCCATTACGTTTCCTGGTTTCACATTTCATCCCCCCTACTCCCATCCCCGGAACCTCAATTTCCATTCCCCTAAGGAGCCTCACCTTTCGTTCCCCTTAATAATAATAAATAATAATAAATTTATTTTAAGTCTAAAATCCATTTAAAATGTTCAGTAGACTTTACATAAATTATCATAAATAATACTACATAAAATATAATAAATAAAATCTAGGTAAAACAGCCTTACCTTTCATCCCCCCAGAGAAACCTCTCCAGTTGGCAAAGATCATGAGTGGCAGTTGTTCCCTGTTGAAGTCTTTGATGGCCTGAGCTGTCTTGTAGGCAGAGTCTGGGAACCACACCATGCCTGCCTGCTGAATGTCCTGGAGAACCAGAAGATACTGTCTACAGACTTTCTTTTTTTTACAAAATACAATTACTATACTTATAGGCTATAACATGGGTTATAGCAAAGTGGATGAGCACAGAAACTAAACAGGAGGCTATTCAAAACTATACAAAACTGCATTTCACTTGAATACATGCTTCAAAATGACCAAGGGATACCAATTATGATACTTTTAAGAACCGCTCTACTCCCCCAGTCACAAGTGTGTATAGAAAAGGTCTAATTCATAAACAGCAATAGTTCATGAATGTAGTCAAAAATGCCAATTTTCTCACAAATTAAATTCAAATTAACGAAAAAAAAAACAACCTAAACCCCATACATTAAGAACTTGTCCAGACGTTGCCTTACCTTGGCGTCAGAGTCCAGATTGGCAGGGTCAGCAGGAATGGTGACCTCTACTGTCCTGGTCTCCACACAGATCACCCCCAGGGGAATACCTCCCAACCTGAGGGGGGAGAACAAAATGTCACTAGACTGTAATGACTCAGCTATTACTTTAACAGATAACTCAGTTTTGATTGATATTTGGTTCTACATTCTATGCCGTCTTAAAACTTTTCCTTTAAAAAATAACATTTTCAACATTTTTGTCAAAACAACAAAGTTGTAGAAATTCACCAATCCCTCTTTTGTGGTCTTGTCATAATTTGATTTACTACTTGATATAAAGCAGACGATGGCAAGCTGGCAGTTTCAAGATCCCCAGTCTCCTCACCTAGCTCTCCCGCAGACGACAGTCTGCGCCCACGGCTGCATAATCTCCATAAAACTGTCCTTGTCAAAGAAACCATTCTGCCAAACTTCTGGGCTGTCTGATGTACAAAAATGAAACCCAAACATAACAAATTGAAATTTTTACAGCACATAATAAAACAATTTTTGCATTTCACATTCTCCAAAAAAGCAAAGTCAACCTGTAGAAGTGGTAACAAATTAGGAATGGAGAAATTTTTCATTAATCTCTTCTTATATAAAGTTGATTTACTGTGTTCTTTTAAAAATTGGTAAAGCTATCAGAGTTTAAGTGTCAGTACACAGATTTTGTATTGTTTTAGTCATATCTTACTTGGGTCTGGTCTTCCTGCCAGCATCCACCGTGGGTCATAGGGGGCCCTGGTGGGCATAAAGTCCACCGTACGGTCAATGGGGTCAATAGGTGGGAGGATGGGCAAGGGGCCATCTCGGCACTGAAACATTATAACAACTCGGGCCTGAACCATATTTTAAATGCACCAAAAATCATAGACTGAAAGTGCGTTACCAAAGTGAAGATACATCCTGTAATGTGATGACCTCACAAAATTTTTGAACCCCATGGTTTTATTTCTAGACATTTTGTCATTAGTTCTACCTGTTATGTCTGTTTCCTTTTTACTGTTTTTCATTCACAGTCTAAATTGTTTTTTTTTTATCCATTTGCATTTTCTTAGATTTCATATCTAAATATGTTTTATTCCTTAAAGTGTCCCCAAAATAAAACTTAGCATGAGGTGACTACCTTGGGGAAGTAGGCCAGCCATTGTATAAGTTTGTAGATACCATCAAGGTCATTGGGTGCAATGTCATGAGACACTCCATTATTGTGCATGATCTGTATCCCACCAAGCTGGTTATTACTGGTGTATACCTCCCTGCCCAGTAACTGAAATAGAGAGGAAAATAAACATTCATAAATCATATAAGTTTTACTTCCTTTATAAATATAAACACATAATTGTGGTTTGTAAGAAAGAAGGAAGACATGTCTGGGTGGACTAATGACAAGGGTCTGGGGGGGGGGGGGGTCACCTAACTTGGAAAACTGCCCAAAAATCTCATTACTAATTTAAACTGGTAAATAATTATGTATGAATCAAATCAAATGCGAATAATTTTTCTTTCACCCCATTGCTGTCCCCTCTTTCAGTCAGACATTATCTTCACTCCCTTCCTAACCCCCCTCCTCATTACCTCAATATTTTACATTTAAGGCGTAATTTATTGCCATTGCCAGAACAAAATCTCCAAAAATCACCTATCACATCTTAGGAGCCGATTCTCACTACCAGAGAGATTAAAGTGTACCCATACAAGAGTAACTGGAAAATGCAAGTGGTAAATAAAAGAAGTGCTAGTCTTTCTTGTTTGGGAGGGGGTGGGGTGTGCACAAAAATATACAACATCCTAATATCCAGATAATAATAATAATAATAATAATAATATTTATAGTCTAAAATCCATATAAAATGTTCAGTAGACTTTACATGGGTAAAATGAACAAAATAAGATGAATAAAGTCAATAAATAAATAGGTAGTTAAAATATGAAGATATTAAAATATGTAGTACAATGTAAATAAATATATGAACAGTTAAGATTTTAAGATATTACAACAGATAGTGCAATGTAAAAGATAAATCCAGAAGATTTTTATCTTTACTACTAAACCCATGTTCACCTTATTCAGCGCCCCTGCTCCAGTCAAGATGATATGTGAGCTCTCCACCTGTACAATTCTCTGTCCTAGTCTTACCAGGTAAGCACCTATCCCTATAGCACGACATGTCACCTAGAAGAAGGCACTGAGATTATTATACATGCACCTTAATTTTACATCAATGAAATAATGTTTGCTAAATTTAACTCTAAGTAGGGGCAAGGGTCTTATTTTTCTAGCTAGAACCAAGTCCTGCTCTGTTTCTATACATAACTTATTATTCAAAAGCTAAAACCTTGATGTAGGTAATCCTTCTTGTTGTTTTAATATTAAAGTTAATAAAGTTTCATTTTACCATCCCATCTCTTTAGAAGTGTATTCCATTAATTGCATTCTCTATGGAATACAATTTACAAAATTTCATTTTATCACTTTTCTCAATTACAACCAGATGGGTGAATAATCACAGATTAATAATACACAATAATCCACATCAAATAATATTAATATAAAAATCACTACATAAATAACAGTCCATGCAATAATCCCTTACCAAGTTCATAGTAATAATGTCCTCATAGGCCTGTGACGATTCTCCTGCTATCATGCCTGAGCCCTTCAAGTTCTCAACTCCTAAGCCGTCATCTTTCCCTAGAAATACAATACCACACAAAATATTACTAGAAATAACCACACAGCTGGATTAATAGTGATACTGAGATACTGACTTTGACTTCAGATTAAAAAACACTTTTTTCTAATAATTTAAAATTTCTGAAAACTTATTTTCTCACAAAAAAACTGTCCACAATGTTTAAAATCCCAACATGCAATGGTTTTGCTTTAAGAAGGATCTTAACCATTGATACAACTTAAAAAATCTATGTGAATTTTCAAAAAAAAAAATCATTATAATAACAATAATAACAAACAAATAAAAAAATAAATAATACTCCAGTCCATCCTTACCAATGATATCTTTGATCTTGTACCTGGACTCTCCCTCGTCTTCCACCAGCTCAGCACGGACAGAGTTTAGAGGACTGACCTTCTTAAAGTCTTCTGGACTCAGATACAGGTATTTGAAACCCTGAAATCATAAATATCCTTAATTGTAGTGAATCAGTTAAAGAATTTGGATATTCAATTTTAAGGCTTCATGGATCATGTGTAAGTATTTAAAACCCTGAAATTGCAAGCACTTTTATAAGCCTTCTCTTCCTGATTCACTGTCATTAAAATTATAGCGAGTCGGTGAGAGAATCAATTAGGAGAACTAACCAATCATATCTGATATTTTCATGATATTTTCATGTTCAGTTTTTAACATCATTTTCGATGAACTGTAACACATAGAACTAAAAATATTTATGGATACATCAAAGCTTAATCCAGCTTTCAAGTAGTGTGCTGAATCACATCCCATCAATCCCAACAAACCCTTGCCATACCTTATCTGGGTTCTGTGCATCTTCCCAGGCGACCTTGAACAGGTGCTTCACCTCCTCCGCTAGCCCAATCCTGGCACCGCTGTTAGCTGATATGTAGATACGTGGAATACCAAGTTTTCTGGCTAGCTCAGAGGCTCTCTACAACACAATGGATGGTTTTATAAAGAAAATGTCATACCACATCACATTTGTAGGTTGGCTTTAAGTGTAATGACTACATCACTTTACATTCCCCCCAAGAAAAAAAAAAAAAAAAACAGGAAATTTTGTCATTTCACACAAAGCAATAACTATTATCTTCCATACTAAAATTAAGAATTATACAGTTTAACCAGCTCAATCTGGGGATAGACTGCACAGATTTTTTTACCTAATAAGTTAACTCACATTTTTACCTAGTTGCTACTAAAATGCTTAAAACCACACATTACATACACTGAAAGAGGACCACATACCATAAAGAGCAGATCTTCCTGTGGCCCAAATGAGCCAATCAGATATGTGATATCATTTCCTATCACGATGACATCCCGCCCCAGGGGGAACTCAGGGGTGTGAAGGGTCATCTTCCACGCCACCATGCCAATCTGAGGAAATGAATCAAAAATAATTTGATTAGGAGAGAAATTTTTATAAAGGGATGGTAAGTTTGGCTCGGTTAAAACCAATTTTAAAGGATAAAAAATTCTGATAATAGTTTTATATTCCTTGACAATGTGTAAATAACTCAAATATCAACTGCAAAATTATTCGTTCATAACAATTCATCATAGAAATTAACCACTCAGCTGAATACATTTGATGTTATAGTCCTATTCCCTTAGCTAAAAATAAAAAGTATGTTATAAAAAATGAACCAAGGGTGGTAAATGAGTAAGACCACTCTAGTAATATTGTAAACTTGTTTTATAGAAATGTCTGTGCCATCACCTCATTTTCTCCAGACAGCCTGTTCATTGAGTGCAGCTCCCCCTCCTGGTCCAAGACAAGCTCCATGTAGGTGAGGACATCTTGAGGCGGCTTCTGTCCTGTCTTCCTTTCATGCTCTGACCAAACTTTAAATAAACCCTGAAAAATAGAACAACAAAAAAAATTTAGAATAAATCTTTTAGTTGCCAATTTTCATCATTCTGTGAGCTGAACATAACATACAATTCACACCAACAGTGTAACACCTACATGGAATTTGTAATATATCCTAACATGCAAACAGAATTATCATGTTTTCAATTTAAAAGAAAAGAACTTCAGAACTTAATTAAAAAATAATCATATAAACTTTTCAATAAATTTGATAGATCAACTGTAGGCATGTAATTGGACTTCTACAATTATGAAAACTTTCTCACCTGTCTGAAAAACTCAGGGAAATCATAGACGTAGGTGGTGTCATTGGACTGTGCCTGAGACCTCTTTAGCTGGAGGTGGTCCTTGGTCACGTATGGAGAGCTGATTAACATGCCATGGAGGGGGCCTTGCTTGGCTCCGTACGCTTGAAACATTATCTGAAATATATAAAGAAAGTAAACAGGGCGTAAAGATAAAATAATGTGAAGTGTATTAAACTGATTGTTAAGTTAAGCTGCTCAACTTAACTGCTTAATTTCAAAATCAAATTGTCTAAAAAAACCAAAACTGTTACCATGAAGAAAAGCAAAACTGTATTTATTTTTTTATATTTACTTTTATCAAAATCATTTCACATATTTTGAAGAAAAAAACAGGGTTCCATAACTTGAAAGCATCGCTAATTGCAATAGCGATATCAACTTTCATTTCAGGGCTATTATATGGGGCAAGTAAATGCCGAATTATGGCGATGCTTTTGAGTTACGAAGCCCAGGTTTTCCAAAATGAACCCAATCTTCTGCCAATTCATGTCCAGTCACAAATGTTTATAAGAACTCGGCTCAACTCCTACCTGCCCTGTGCGTAAGTCAGTGACCTCCCTGTACATACTGATGTCTAAGTAATAGCCACTCTCATTGGTCAGAAATAGACGAATAGGAAGACGCTTTCCATTGGTGGTTAACCTAGAAAGTATACTGTACACTGTCATGGATGTGAAATATGTGAGAGGGAACTCTACTTTCAGGATTTAAGACCAATTTGATCCCAGAAAGTTAATCATTGAGACAGATATGATAAGTTTTCAACCTACCTGATGGTCATTTTCAGTTCAGCCTGCAGTACTCTGAGTTTCCAAAGTCTGTGACCATACCTCATTACCATGCTACGGACAGTCTCCTCCAACTTTAAGGGGAAAATACAAAATAATAGTATCACACTACAAATACCACTCAGAAATTAAATTTACTATGAAGGCTATTGCACATAAATTGTTTTTTGTTTAGTTTAAGCAACCCTATTTTTTGCAACTGATTTTGAATACCTTATCAAAGAGATATCACCTACAAATCGCTGTACAGCATAATTAAAATATCTTAAAATACACACAACATTCTCTTAATCCATGTAGAATAATATATATTTAACCTGTTAATTTAATGACAATTTTCAAACACAAAACTGATGACACCAGTAAACAACACCAAAAAAATAAATATTGGTTAATAAGTTATAAAATATGTTGAAGTATGTTAGAAAGAACCATGAAAACCACCTATTACCTTGGTTGGGTCCGTCAGAGCCAATGTTGGAGCAAAATTCAGGAAGATATGGTTACAATCCGCTCGCCGTGACTACAAGAAATAAAATATTAGATGTTTCCCATTCACTATACCAATGTGCAAGATCTAATTGCCAGTGCAGGATTAAAATGTCCAATCCATCCTACGGTTAAACCCTCTTATATGACAGAAAACATGCAGGAAGGCAACTTTCATGCACCTTTGCACAACAATGAGGCGCATGTGCAATTAACCCATTTCTGCTGGTCGTCGTGTCGTGCCTATTTCTGGTAACGTATAGCAAGCATGCAGTCAGAGGGGGCAAGGGTCCCAGGCTCCAAGTTGAACTCATTGGACTCTAAAAGCTGTCATCACACCACATATGGCATCAGACCAGAAATCAACCAAACAAATTAAAACATCAATATAGCGTCCATGGACCACACTTCAATGGCTGGGCTCACTAAAGACAAGTACAATTTAGCCAAAAACTGAGTGATTTCCAATAAGGTGTGTGAGGACAGCTTTCACCTCCAATGTTGATCTGGTGAGGGGGGAAAATTTAGATCCCAATGTCAGCTGACACCTCTTTGATGGGAGGGATTAACAGGTGCAGTACAAACTGAACATTTAACAACAACAACAACAAAACAACAACATGACAATTACAGTAACAAAGATGGCATAAAGATGTGTTGCCTCCAACCTTGTCGTAATCCATGACAACAGTGGCCACCGAATTTAGGAATATGTGGTTACTGTTGGCACTTTTGAACTAAATGGAAAAATCACAATTAACAACATTTTATTGGCGCTAAAGCAAATGATGTAAAAGGAGAAAAACAACTGAAAATGAATTCCAACATCTACAAATGAGAACATGTATATAACAGTAAATCAACCTTAAGATCACATATAAAAACAGCAATATGACATCTAACAGTATTTGTCCATGAATTTGTTCTTGAACTAAATATTATGTATAACTTAACTTGAACAATTCAGTGATATCTAGTCACTGGCTTTATGAACTGTTACTAAGACTGAACAGGCTGACTAATTTGGACAAACAAATGCACAAAACTATATTTGATGAAGATCCTGCAGGTAAACAGGAATAAAACTGAACAGTTTTTATAAACAGTCAGCCGACTGTTGCCAAGAAACAACAAGATTCTGTATTAATTTTGTTTCAATTGTTGGTTTTTTGGGCAATGGAACCTCGACATTTATCTATAGTAGTGCGAATCCCAATGGTGTCACTTACATCACTGTGGGAGAAAGCCACCTCTAGAGCATCCATAGCTTCCAGCAACGTCCGCTCACCTTCATTCTGCAGATACTCAAATGATGCCTCCTATTGGAGGAAAAACAATTTATTGGGTGAAAAATTTCAATATAATACAAAAATAATTATATAAATCAAACAGGTTGAAATATTGCTGCCAGGCATTCACTAATATCAAGTCTATTTATTTCCATAAAAAAATCACATCAAGTTTTAGTTCACTAAAATTTAGTTACCTAAAAAAAGCACTGCCTGTTCTAAAACACAACTTTATAATTGTGTTAATGCCTACCTTAGTCACAAGGTCAGAGTGTCTAATGATTGACCTCACAAAGAATCTGTAGTCAGTTGCCTCCTGACACTTGGCTACTTGCTGGAAGCATCAAGGTGAAATTTATTGTCAAATTGGCTGATTTAAGCAATAAAATATTTCATTTATTGGGTTAGATATTTGCTGACTATTTTCTGTATTGCAAACACATGCAGGCGCACACACAAATGTCGTTAAATTGTCAAATTGGCTGATTTAAAAAAAATATATATATAACATTTATTGGGTTAAATAAATTCCATTTTCTATATTTCACAGAGTACAGAAAAGTTGACTACACAAGACTTGAAGCCCTAAGAAGCAATAATTTTTTAGGAAAATAATAAACTCAACATACCTTGGCTTTTCCAAGATAAAGATGCATTTTGTGGTTTTGTATAGGAATGGCAGTGAGGTGGAAGTTCCGCATTCTGTTGATCTCCAGTTGAAACGCTAGCGCAGGCTCAAGATGGCGATAAATTCTATCCTCGGCAAACTGTGAAGATACACATATATACCGAATGAGCTGGAGATGTTTGTCTACATCAGTTATGTTACACCACATATTAATCATTTTACTTATTCTAAGCTTATATCACTCCATTCAGAGATTGACAACATTCAGACATTGTTGGCTAGAAATTTTTCATTCTTGTTTAACAAACATCACACTTACCATGTCTCTGGCTCTAAATGTGAAATATTGGGGAAATTCTCTCTAGAAATATTAAAGAAAAGTGTCAACATTTCATCTTTTACTGAAAGCAACTTATTCTGTTGATTCATAATTTTTTCAACTGCATAAAATTTTATATTCTTATACCACACTGAGCAAAAAAGTAATTACATTAATGCAATACTGGATATTTCAGACTCATTACTTATGTAGGCTACATGATGTGCTTTTTCATTTAAAAATTCTGTTTTTTACATTTTGACAATTAATTCACACTGCAAATAGTTACTTCAGCCTCACTCCCCCAACTAAGAAAACTTACAGCATATGAATTCAGGAAGGTCACTCTTCTAATTCCCTTTTCTACCAATTTAGGCGACTAAAAATAACAAAATATACAACTTTGTTTATTATAAATAATCAGCTGTGGAAAAAAACAATTTCTTTTTTTTTTTATTTTCAAAAATATTACTTACAATAAAAAACTTTTTGTATAAAGGTATGCATAACACTTTTTAAGTAATAATAATACAATAATATATAATGATATATTAACTACCGGTAGAAATCTCTAGTTTAGAAAAGGTTGCACATATTTTACCTGACTTTCACAAAATGACTGCAGCATTTTTGAAAACTCATTAACATCAGAGTTGTCAACCTTCAAGGCCACGCCCAGTATGTGGATTGGCTCCTCTGATGGTTTCTAAAATGCAAAGTATTACAGTATATTACTTTAAAGAACTGATACACACAAAACACTATGGCCATTATGATAATCATCTGAGTTTGTGAAATGGTGTCCCGAAACCTTCCCCTCCTCATTGCAAATTATAGATGCAAAAAATTTAACTCGATGACATGATCATAGCGTACTCATTTTCATTAAATCAAAGATGTGTGACCGATGTAATGTCTATAAATTCAAATTTTTAAGCAAACTGACGACTGTCAGCTTTTAGGCTGCAGCATGTCCTCTTACACGAGAATCTTCAGTTGGTCTCACACAAAGACAGAAGAATCTGTTTCTGATTATTATGTTGTTGTGACTGATGTTAATGTGACTGAGATCTACTTTATTTCAGTGGAATACAACTATTCTGAACCAAAGAAGTCTCCAGTTTAAGGTCTTAAAGTGAAAGTGAAGACCAACTTTCCACTCCAAGTCCTACCTGAAATAAGTCAGTATACTTACTGTCTCTGACATCCTGTCCAGAAAGCTGGAAGTGGACTCCATTAGTACAGGGCTGTCTGGTGGGGTGCTGGCAAATCTCTCCAACATCTCATCAAAATGGCTGTGAAAAACAGAGAATAAAGCTTATTTCAAACATGCAAAATAAATTCTGTTTCCAGCTGGAGAAAGTTCATTTTCTACATAATACCTGATGCACCTCCTATCATTTATAGCAAATGCTTAAATATGTTTAAATATATTTGCATAATTGCTTGTTAATTTTTCTTCACTTTTGAATTGCTGATTTTAATTTTACTTAAATAAAACAAAGCTTTCAAATGACATATGTCAACAGATACAATAAGAGATTGCCAAGGTAAGCAATTGCACTTTTGTTTTTAACAGCCACATTCACAATTATGCTTTGAAAACAAATTCATTTCATATATATATCTGATTTTTTTAAAATCAGACTCCACTTACTCCACAAAGTTCTCAAAGGTGGTGAAGGCCGCGATGGCCCCCTTCCTCATGCAGGGCGTCTGGTCTTCCTCGGGCTGCTCAAAGCTCTGGTTCAGTTCTTCTGTGAGACTGGGCACCCTGGGAACCAGGCTCTGAGATATGGCACTCTGGACAGGCTGGGCAGTCCTAGCGTAAGGCAGAGAACAGAGAGAGTGAGGACCTCAGAAATCAGGGTGCAATTCGATGCAGAGCTGCACTTTTACTGCAGAATTAATGGACGCTTTATATTTCAGTACTAAGCCAAAATAGAACAGTCAAAAATCAACAGATACTTTTATCATCTGTGAAATTCATAGGGACATAATCTTTTGTTTGTCTAATCATCCCAGGTAGATTCTATTTTACTGTCAACAAAAAACGCTTCTTGTATGTATGTTTCCTGATGTAAGTGAAAGAATGAAAAAAATAAAAATCATCAGTAAATCCCCAGTCTGAAGCAAAAGTCTACACAATTTTTCTTATTGGAAATGACCATGGAAGCAAAACTTCTATCACCAACATATAACAAGGCAACACTGATATCAGGAGTCCATTCCCCACACATATCTACATGCCACAGTAGGCAGTATACCTCAAGACATTCCCTACACATGCAACAGATACCATAACTTTACACAGATTACTGTTATGCTGGTGAGTTCTCCATGCCAAACCATTTAGTATTGTTAGTCAGGTCTATATTGTATTCTATCAAAAGCCATGCACCATGATGTAGTAACTCAATACCTGTACCCATACTGATGTTAGCTCTACATTGTAGATCTGTATTCTGACTAACGACTATGGACAAATTAAACATAATATCTACAAACAGCTGTTAAAAAAAACATTGTAAGAAATAACTGAAGCTTAAGAGTAACCAACTTCTTCAAAGCAGGAATATAAAACTTGATTAGAAGACACTTTCTGAAAACGTGCTTAAAAACAGGCATGATTTTGCAGCTTGTAAAATAAATCAAAAGCTGGAAATGTGTAAATAATGAAACTGAAAATAATGTGACTTCACAGGTAAATCACAACACAGCACAAAATAAGTGTAGTGAAAGCCAAAGCAGAAACACATGTCAGCCATTAGTTAAATGGAAAACAGATTCTTAAACATTAAAAAAATATTCTGTATTTTACCTGGACCTGTATAAAGACATGTACTTGTACCTACACAAGGCAACAAACAAAGTATACTTTAATATACAGAACTATTATTTCTTAAATATGTATTACAGCAATAAGACATAATTATCTTATTTCTATAATCACCCGTCCATTATGACAATTTAACTAAAATGACAAAAGAATGAAAGCTTTTCAATGTTACTTGAAACCAATTTATATTCCTGAAGTAATTTTTATGTAACAAATGTAATTAATTTTTAGTTCACATAATCAAAAACCACCCCTTTTCTGTCTTCATAAAACATCTAGACTATGCTAAAGTTCTACCATGCTTGTCCTAATTTACAGAATACCTACACTAATTTTGTATGTTAGTTGAAGACCACTATTGTTATAATCAGTGTTTAACAATAAAGATAGGACAACTTTTCTCGAAGAATTTTAGGGTTAAAAAGCTGAAAATCCAGTGAATCTAATATCATGTTAGTTTTGCCTGAAATCATTTATTAGTCTCTGCCAATGAAAATCCATTAAAATGTGTATTTTCATAGCAATCAGATCTTACCTATTTGGATGGGAGGTGGGTAAGAAAAACTTGAAGTCCACAATGCATGTCCCGTCTCTCATCTGGGAGTGTTGTACACAGCTCAGGTCGTAGGCAATGTACGCTCTTCTCACATATACCTAAGATGGCATATATGGATCATAAGTTAATATATGAGATGTAATACAATGGACACTCTTCTTACATAAACCTTTGATGGCAAAGGGAACTAAATGAATATATGAAATATAATGGAATAAATTTTTCTCACAAACACATTTTTACATAAACTCATCATGTCATTGAGGGCATCAGAAAAAATAGAGGATATAACAATATCGTCAACACATAAAAAATACATGATAAATACTGGATAATACTAAGTTAAAGCGCTGAAACATACCAATCAACATAAAGTTATCAATTTTAAACATGTATAAAGATAATATCTATCAGAACAAAAGTCTATTTCAAAGCACACTTTCTGGCAAAGCTTAATTACTGTCATATAAACTAATGTACACTTTAATACAGGAGCATATTTAAAAGAAGTTTTCTAAAAGATAAAACTTAATATAGAATTCAATTTAACTGTATGTAAGATTTTTATGTCAAAGTAAGAATATGTTCTGATATATATGCTAATCATTATAAGCTAATGTGTTCATGGGTGCCATACCTCCAGAGCTGCCATCCTCACCAGCATGTTACTATGGTAGAAAAAATCTGGCAGGATATCAAATATGGCTGTCTCCGACATGATGAGCTTCTGCAGGTTTTCTGGGTGAAATTCCTGGCCGTACATGTCAATGGCGGACAGGAAGATTGACTCCACCTGGTTGTGGCGCAATTCATATGGAGGCTGGTGGGCTGCTATTAGGACCTGGAAAGAAACAAGAAAACATCAGATCTGAATTTTAGAAGAATGAAGATTCCTTATTGATTACAATTTTAATACTTATAATTCACCAAAACTAATAAACTAACACTAATCCATTCTAAAAATAAAATTCACCTTTGAAAACATAATAACAATTTCCCATTATTCAAGGGTCAACAGAATGGCAATTTTCTCGTTTCCTCATCATTTCTTACAAAGATCTCTATCTTCTCATCAAATAAATAAACAAAAAATAACAATCAAATAAAAACAACATCTGTCTCCCTTTTTGCTTCCCACCATGCCCCATACCTGTCTTGCCCTCAGTGCCACTTTCCCATTCTCTGCATTGTTTAACGTGGTGAATTCCGTCAAGATGGAGTCCAGATCTTCTGTCAGTCCCGGCTCCTTCTCACACAGGTGATCCTAGTGATGTGAACAGTGGATAGTTTGAATGAGTCTCTGACTTCATTGTGAAACAATTTTTAGAGTCAAATTTAGCTAAAATGACCTTTAACCAATTTGGGAACAAAATTCTTTTGACAATTACTTTCTTTTCATGGTAATGTTCATAAACCCAAAAGCCCCCCCCCCAAACACACACACACACACACACACACACACACACACACACACACACACACACACACACACACACACACACACACACACACACACACACACACACACACACACACACACACACACACACACACACACACA